GAATTGGAGGAATAAAAATTTATTAAACTGTTAATACTTAAACAAGAAGGAACTCGCAATGATACAGGAAGTTTGAGTTCCTTTTCATTGACAGTAGCTGAGCAGCATCTACAGGTTTTTTGATTTATCTGTCTACTAGAAATAAAAACTAAAATTTCTTTAATGATAAGAAACTAATGACTGGAATTTAAATTTTGAGAAAATTCCAAATGTCGCGGGTAGCGCCTCAAAGGCGTAACCTATTACTGTCAGTAGGAGAAGGGGGATTCGTCGATCATTTCGTGATACCTGTATGGATGGTATTTTGGGTACGATATGTTCATAGTCTGTAATTATTTTTCAAGGTTTATCCAAATATTTGGTGGACCATAAAAGAGTGCCTCGGGACTTAAGGTGAGTTCCTGGAATAGTCAACAAATCTCTCTAGAGTCTAACAACAGCATTACTAGTTTCTTGAACTTGGTGACTGTGTCAGAGATACAGATAATAATAGACTGTGTCGTGTTACAAAGAAATGACAACGCAGTGATTTTTGTGTTTTGCCGTTGTTAGTGTATATGCGTTGTTGTTAAGTCGGTAAGCAGTGTGGTGGTTCATAATTGGGCGGTATTTTACGAACGAGAGACAATTTATCAGTTTGTAGAGAGTTATCAGGTTGCTCTTCAACCGAGGGCGCCACAGAGGTTCAATGAAAAGATGTTTGTATCAGTCTGCGTAGTCGAGAGTGTAGAATCTATTTTGAAGGTTTTGTTTTTGGAAAATCCCTCCATGTATATATATTTGTGTTATGATATGAATGACTCTTTCTGTTTGATATTTTGGTACTCTATTTGATTCCATTTTGAGAATTTATCATTTGTACATTGTTATTATTTCTATATCTTGTACTTATATTGAAGTTTTTATATTTCCTTCTGAACTATACGTATGTTGTTTAAATTTGATACTTCATATGGCTACAGCCATATTTGGATTTGATACTCTAGCAGTAACGGACTGGAAGCACTTATTCTTCCAGCAACGGAAACTCGAAGGTGTAATATTGTTTTTGGTAATTGTCTGTATTTCCCTTTTTAATTAAATACAGAACCGTTCTCTCCCAGAATTATCGTTTTTGGTCCTGGACTGGATGGGACGCGTATGAACCTACACTTTGTGAGTTAAAAGCGGACTGCAAGAGTAATTACAACTTAATAGAGAGTATGTTTCCGTCCTAGAAATCGTCGAGTTAAGCTTCTGTGTAGGAACTATTTTATGAAGAAAACATAACTGCTGACATACAAATACTTATTATTGAACATGTATAACAATAACTGTTTTATTGTAAGTCTTTTGTTTATCTGGACTAAAAGCCATAACTCAAGTGCCAACCTTCCCAATCCCGTGGCTGAATTGATCGCTCTTGTTATTTCACTGTCTGGCTGTACACGTGATATCATTATGATATCATGCGACTTCAAATCAATAAATATCGTTATTAATTTGGGAGTTTTCACCTAGCAATCGCATCCCAACAACTACACTTCTTTGGACATTTTCCATTCTTATCTTGTCCTTGATATTCATGTTAGAAAAGATAAGTTTTAAATACTCAAGCGAGGGTCTTATGCACCATTTGAAATGTGTAAGCTTAGCTTCACTTGTCAAGAAGTTCCTATTATTGAACCCACTTAGTAGTCTGGATTTTGAGATAATAGTTGAGGCATGTTCTTTGAATCCTAGACTTCTGGAGTAACGAATACGAATAAACGCAAGCTATAAAAAGCTGAAACTGTGGCTTTTAATTGCCGTCATCATACAAATGGGGTCCACCTAGGAGTGGCATGCGAAAATTAGATGAAAAATCGATTTACCGAACATATTTAACCGCTCGTCTAAATTGGAGTCAGAATGCAGGCCATTAAAGGACTAATTAGAACTATGAAGAACAATAAATGTCGCATCTGGATAACGTAGATATTTATCATTTTTCCCCTGACTTGCCACTCAGAAGGTTTAGGTCTATGAAGTTTAATCTGAATAGATGGCTTTGGGAATATCCGGCTAACTCTTGGCTGAGTACCAAGAAAACTTAAACCCATGCGCCAAGGAAAGTCACTAAGATATGAGAATACCCTTAATAGTCTTGAAACTGTTCAGAAGCACTCAGTTCACTGGCATGCGATATGATCAGACATCCATGTGTGTTACAACAACTTCCTGATGAATGAAAACAAGCTACTCTCTCCAATCTTCAGGAGAGGAGATAGTAAGGATTCAGCCAGTTACAGACCGGTCGCATTACTACCAGACCTCTCGAAGGTAATAGAAGGGCTAATGAACGAACAAATGAGGGAGTACATGGATAAGAAAATTAAACTTAATGAAGCTCAACACGTGTTTTGGAAATGTAGGTCATGCACATCCAAACTCCTCGTGGCATAGGACAAATGTACAGTACCCAATATACTCCTAGAAGTGAAGGTTTAGAAGATAGGCTTCACCGATCAACGACATATTATGTACACCGAATTATTCCAACATAAGTAGCTTGCAAAACATCAACATCACACCCCTCAAGGTAACCCTCGAAAATCACAAACCGAAAAGCAAACACACAGGTACATGTCCGCTTTTTCTGACCAAGAGTCGTTCAAACTTAGACTTCTCTCTCAGGCGAAAAGACTTTATGAACGCGTATTGATATACGGATTGAAATCTACCTCTTGGACTTGCTGTGCACGAGGTATATCTTAAAACTCGCCTGTTTTTTATCACTGTCATTTGCTTAGATTGCAAACATATTCTATCTAGCGTATTATCTCTGTTTCACTCTCTTTGCTTGCACTTCTGTCATCTCATATAATCTTCAAAACAAATTAACTAACTCATTTATATACATAGCTTTAAAATTTCATTAAAATTAGAATTTTTTTCGGTTATTTCCCATATGTATCTACCGCATGGTAATGTGATAGCTGCTTGCCTCCAGAAGCCTACTTCCAAAGGACAATGCAATCACTCAGATAACAGGACATACAAATTCATAAATAACTGGCAGGTGACTAGAATTTTTGAAGTTAAGTGGCTAAACTATTACCTACTGGACATTACCAAAATATGGAACTGTAACAAAAGAACAAGAATTGAGCGACAGGGAAAGTAATGTTGTATACTCGTTCATGAAAGAGATATTAGTCAAGCTGACTTTAAGAAATGCTAGTTCAAAAAATTTAGTAAGCCTCTGTAGGGTCGAGACTGGATTTCAGAGGAGCCAAATAGTTAACACTAGAACGTGCTATACTCTTCAAGGTTGAAATAAACTGGGCGTCGATTCAAGTTTTGACGTATTGGTGAGCGGTATAGGTTTGTTATATAGTAAATTCGAAAAATTGCTTGATCGGCTACAGTTCCGATAATATAGTGCGGCAGAAAATACTTAAGAGTATTTCCACTCGTCATAATTGTTAAATTACATATCACTTAATCCTATGACGACTCTAAATGTACTATCGTTATGTTGATTATTCCATGAGACTAAATAAAACAAAAACAAACGTCTCTTTCTGGTTTAGCAGTAAATAATCATGCAAACCAGGTTACACCTAAAAATTTTAGTCATCGGTCTGAGTTTATCGCTTTAATTATTACTATTACGTAAAATCGTAGGGAAAAGCTAATTGAACCCAAAGACTCCGTATATTATTTGTCAGATTGGGGTTCAAAATACCAGCAAAAATAACTCAATATTATTATCACTGTTATTTAGTTGATTAAACCTAATTGACGTGGAGTTTCTCTTACTCGTATTACCATATAACATACATAACATGAGACACCTATGAATCTTCAGTCGACGTAATTCACTTGTCATTTAGAAAAGTGACTTAAGAGATGTATATATATATATATACATATATATTGAGAACATTCCAGCGACTAACCTGTTTACATAAAACAACTTTAGTTATTTCCACAGACATTTTTAGTAACTTTTTTTCAGCCTAAGTGATTGTATCAACGATGAAAGTCTCTTTGTGGTTAAAGCTTTTAAATTTCAACCCCTGTGGTTCAGGCTTAGAATCTCAGCACTTTTGTTTGAAATGTCAATGTGGCTCAAATTTGGGCTTGTACCTGTTTACCCTCCAGGTTTCTTTTGTCATATTAATCGGGTTTACCTGCACTGTAGTTATCAATGTTTAGATAAGACCGAGTTTTTCCCCTCGTATTAAGTAGGCAAAATATATTTGATTTTCTTTCCATGTAAGTCATATAATTTATCTGATAGTCCTGTTTTTCATCGACGCACCACTATATTTGTCTTTATATAGTCCTTTTGTAACGACTTCCTATGTCTAAGTACTGAGTCATTTAGTTCAACCACTGTGTACAGTAAGTGGCCGGTAGCACACGCAGTATTCTCACCCGCTAGAAAGACTACCATTAGAAGGACCAGATAAGTATCCCGCATTATTCTATTTTCTTCAGACATCACATACTAAGGATAAAAGTCCGCGTTTTTAGCGAGGTTGGAAGAGTTACTATACTTTACTAACTTTTATGAACAACGGTTACTATCATATTACTTGGTGATTACTTTAGTTCGGTAGATAGCTCCGTATATCCAACACTAAGTCGCATGTTCATGTAATTGCTATTGTAGCTTCAGGTTACAAACTGACTGAAACAAAGTTTAAGCCTGTCAACCAATGGAATTCAAATAATTTACTAGCGCTCCACAACAACACTATAACCAGACTCGTTTGTAGCATCTGTTTAAGTCGAAGTTTCAGCAGTAAAAACACGTCCTTTATTTCGCATCCATACTACAGCAATATTTCCACGTTATCCACTGGAATGTTGCTAGTGGTTAATATGCATTTAAATTCCAACAACTCACGTTGGCGCACATACCTCAAGTCATGTAATGGTATGTTTTATATACGTTTAGGTAAAGGTATTCAGAAATCCACTGTGCCGTTTTATAACGTGTAACACTTCTCATGGCTTAATAAGTGCAAATGTCGTTCCGGGCTATTGTACCTCCACCCGATTTTTTGTCAAAAGCCGAATTCAACAGACCTTGTGGTCGATCGCCAAACAAAATATCTACTCTACTGACTAATGTGCAGCGAAGAAATGTTCAAACACTTGCTCCAACAGAATCAAAAGATCTCACATTTTTTCAAATGGCTGCTCAGGGTGAGCTGTTACTACTTCAGAGGGAAATAGAAAGTCGGAATTTCAATCTAGACATTCCAGATAACCAGGTTAGTAGCAAATTAATGCTGCCGATGTAAATATGTGATAGATCATAACAGACCTAAAGTTTCTTTAAATAATAATATCAGTACTACTATTTAGTCGATCCATCTTTACCATTAAAGTTTTTACTCACTTTGAGTACAATTGTTAAAGCCTAACAGTTTTCCTGAGTAGGTCAAACATAAAGGTATCGTATTCTGGCAACTATAGTTCGATAAAAGCAAGAGAGCAACAATAATTACACGAATTTCCTATTCGCTGCAATATCATGGCTTTTGTACCTAAAGCTTGTTTATATATATACATATAAATATAATTCATTCTGAACTAATGTAGTGTAAAACAGTTAGTTTACCTTCATCGAAGCCTGCGTCTGTGTAGACCATATACTAATATCAATAGTATATACTATTGGTGTGAATATGTTAATTTGGCTATGCCATGCGACCAATAAATCAAGCGTACGATCTGAGGTCTGACTTGTTTTCCGTTTCCGAATAGATCATATTTTGTCCTATAAACATTCTGATAAGGTAAATCAACTTTTGTTGCAAAGATGCATCTGCTGCCATGGATTGTCGATTGCTTATTTCCAGTAAATCAGTACTTGATATACAATGTTTCGAAGATGTTCAGCGCGTTTTCTTTGATATACGTATACGCAGATTGTGTGACATATCTAGGATTTGAACAATATCATCCACCTAACGGACTTAAGTCTCCGTCCAAACAGTGCAGATGGCTTTCTTAGGGGGTCATCTTCGAGCCTTTGGCCTAGAGGCCCAATCCACAAGGCAATGAAGCAACGTTAGGAGGTGTGGTTTCATGGTCGCCGGTGACCAACAACAATACTCTGGAGCCCATGTGCACCATATGCACTATCGTAGTCGAGTCCGCCGTACCCACCAACCCGGTGTAAGCGTCAGACATTCACTCTTCGTAAACAACTGTGTCACGACAAGGCGGTGATTAGTAATTCCCTGGTAATGTGGGTATATACACTTGGTCGTACGACAGGGTTCGGGAAGGGAGGACGAACTCTCTACACTCGGTCGTACTAGGGCGTTTGGGAGCTATTGCATTAGTATGGTAAATCTATTGAAAGGAATTACCCACTCGAACATTCTTTATATTAAATATATTTTTTGAAAATTATCAAAAATATTTGTTATACAACAGAACTTATATATGTTTAATAAAGTGCAGGATCACCTTAAGAATTAACCAGCTTATTTAGTTAGTCCGTATGATATTAAAATTCCATCAGTAAACAAAACAGATTTCAATAAATAAATCCTCGAAGTTTCGGCGAGTTTTTTCACTTTTTTAAATATACTAAGTCCATCAAAAAGACGTCTACATTTCACTGCATGCAGACGAGCGGTGATAAACAAGTTTGTAAAGAAGATAATAATAATTTTGTTAAGTTAATACTAAACTCCCTATGAGAAGCTAGTTGCATTAGAAATCTTCGCATTCCATTATGAAGCCTGATGTATTAAGTAATGATGATTATTTATGAAATTATTTCAAAAGCATTACAGCTAATGCTAATTTTATGTTAGTCATGGATATTTACAGTATTAAGAGGAATTCCATGATAAACCTGAATTTCGATTCAATACAACAGATGACTGAAAAATGGTTTCTACGGGTTACCGATGATACATTAAATCTAAACTAATTGCTATTTCAATAATCCTAGATTTTAGAGAATATAATAGCAGAATCTAATGGACAGACACTAAGTAACCTAATCTGGAAAACAAGTCAGCTACATGTTCAGTTAAAATCAACCCAATCGACAAAAAACAGGTCTACAAAAAGTACCGTTTATTCAAAGATACTTAGATTTCATCGACAACTGAAAATGTATTGATTGATTGCAGGTATTCCACTGCTATGGGAAACAAATTTTTCGTGTTAGCTCCAGAGTGTCCATGTAAGAGTTGTGTTTTACTATGAATTTATACTTCTAACCCCACAATATAATAGAAATAATTAATAATATACTTCACAACCGCACACACATGTCATTTCAATCAGTAAAATGTATTACTGTTTTTCATGGCAACACATTTGTAAAAAGTCATATTTAACCAGTTACCGTATATGCAGAGGATTGAACCTTATTTTGAGTTTGTTATGTCGAAAACGTTTTGTGCTATTTCATCACAAACTACTTAAGAATCCCTACTTTAGTTAAGTGTGAATGTCGTCACTAATAATCAAATAAATATTTTTCTGTTTTATCTCTATATTTGGTTTACAGGGATTTACTCCACTATTGTGGGCTTGTGCTAATGGACAGAAAGCTGCAGTGGAGTTACTTGTTTTCTATGGAGCGAATATTCTTCTATCTGGAGATAATGGAGAAACAGGATTGCTCCTAGCTGCTAGTCGTGGTCACTTTGATGTAGTTCTTTACTTGCTGAAAGCTGGATGCCCAGTAGATCTGTCTGATGAATTGTGCAATACTGCGTTGATGTTCGCAGCTTATAACAACAACGCTGCAATTGTGTCTCTGTTACTTGATTGGGGTGCTGACATTACGTCTATAAATGCAGATGGGTGGACAGCATTAGATTTTGCTATACGACGGGGCTCACGTGCTAGCCAACGTATAATCGAAAAGCATATTTTATCCCTATTGCACAACCACTAGATTTTCGAACTAAAATATTCGGGAAAACTTCCTCATGTTTGAAAGTGCTAAAATAAAAAATCAGACTTGTCATCATTCCAGCTTGATAACAACTTCGGATTTTTTTTCAGTTTACCTTTATTCAGTGTGAAATTGTTTCTATATGTATATACAGATAAGCAGAGACAATCTTCTTTTGTTCACTCACGTAGTACTGTCCTGTTTAGTATTTTGATATCCGTACAGTAAACATGTCATTATTTTTGAAAAGGTTGGTCAGTCAGTCAGATGCAACGTAGAACTTCGTACGTAGTACATCAGTTCATGTTGCCATACCACATCAGCACAGAGATGTAATTGTCAATTCAAATCCAATAGTAGAAGAGGTAGTAAAGGTATTAGAAGTAATCGGAGAGGTTAGGATTAGAAAAGGTTAGTACCAAGTAACCGTCTGAAACGAAACGTTATTATCCTCTTCATAGTGGTAAAATCCACTGGGTCCACTAAACGGTTATGTCAGTACAATTGGAACTATCGAAATGATAAATCGCTGATAAAGCTGCTCCCAAATCTGAAGCAGAAGTATTTTAGTAGGCAGTCGTTGACGACTGGGATACATTCGGCTAGGATAACTTAATTAATTAATTAATTCACTTTAGTCATTACAATATTTTAGTAAATCGATTCTGCTATCATAACATTTTTCGTATAGAATCAAAGAGCCTCTTGAGACCCATGTAGTGCTAAAAAGGGTTTACAGATTGCGTGCGGAACGCACCATTTTGTAAGTATTTGGAGGTGTCAGTAGGTGCAAATGGGTCCAGGCTGCATTTCGATCCCACCCGATGAGTTAAAACTAGCTGTAATTCGATGAACACGGTTTATCGGACTACAAATATAGTCTACTCAAAAGAATTTCTGAGCATTACGTGAATAATGCCTCGTTAAAAATATTATTATGGATTCAAAACACACTTTCATTTGTGAATCGAAGGCTTAAATAAACTGAGTTGTCAGCATTTTGAAATACATATTAGTCGCGACTTCTCAAAGACCTGCGGAGTTGCTACTGTAATAGAAACAACCAACGCAGGATTCTTTAACTGGTAGTAACATCGAAATCTAAGAAAACTGTTGAGAGTGTAGGGACTGTACAACCAACGGAATCGTCCGACAGGCTAGTCAAGCAGTCTGTTGTACCTCGTCAAGGTCAGCGAACAGCAACGTAAAACTTCGTACGTACGTACATCAGGTCAAGGTCAAAGACAACCGGCGTGCACGATTCGATTGCATATTATGAACAGGTACATGCATCACTGCACTTTTATCAACTGTTGGTACTAATTTATGCTTTGACTTATCAAGAGTCTTATCTTAATAAGTCACCTGGTAATAATGGTGATATAATCCAGGTTGCATGACTTGAACGTATGCTGAAACGCCATACTGATCTTGTCAAACTCGACTGTCATCAGCTATCGACAATCGTCTTAAAGATTAACAGATATATTATGATGCACGAACTATATCTTTGTTTATAGTACCTATACCATTGGTTTTGAGACTATCTAAATCAGAACTGCGACGTTAAAAGTCAGGTTATGTGGATTATTTTTTAGTAGCATTTATAGGGTACGATGTAAGACTACTAAGAAATAATCGTCACATATACGTATTTTAATAGCATGCCAACTATCACTACAAAGTTAGCAGTAAAACAATTTAAAAAGCCATTAATCTACGTCATTATATATATATATTACAAATTGAAAACAATCGGTACTGATTTGAGACATCAAGTTTGAGAGTGGTACCATTCTGATAATAACATGAAGAAAGCGTCATTAAAATATTTTTTTTATCTATAGTACATTACAGCTGCTTCAGTACATACTACTGTCAGTAAGTTTCCGTATCGTGCTATATTATTTGTCTCACAGTAGTGATGCACTTGTTGAGATAGTTGCAGCTGCTTTTAGTTATCAAACAGAACTACCTGTACAGTTAAACTATGAGGTACTTCAACTCAACCGTAAGTGAAGCAGTTCATTTACCAAGTAGTTTTGGGGCATATTTTGCTTTGACGATGGTGTTATCACACGCCTCTCCTGACAATTAGATGACACTACTCAAAATTCCAACTCAGCACACAAAAGCCGGATGTCTTAGCTACTAAGCTACCCCTCCATTGATAATATTGTAAGTCTACAGTTCCGTAAACAAATCTAGCAGGAATTATTCATGAAGTGATTCCTTTGTATTGCGTTGCGTAGAACTTTACGATAATCAGAACGTAAGACGGAAAGCTACAGCTACTCTTGTAGTTTCTATAAATGTGCGAACACATCAGAATCAAGTACATTTTAGACAACGAAAAAGTTTACACCGCACAGCCAAAGCTCTGACATTATTCGATTGAAAGGTGTATATATGCAAGGTCGCCCTTAGTGCCACCACTACTTTTATTAAAGCTACTACAGTGGAGTTTGGTTTTAACTTGCTGTATCAATGAGGTGTGACTTGAGGCGACGCACAAATGTGCTGGATCGCATTACGCGAAAGACTGACTGTTATTCTTGAAAAATTCAAGACAACTATCACTATTGTTGGTTCAATAAAAAGCAGAAATAACGTTTAAAAATGTGGTTTAATAATCTCAAGAGTTTAAGGCAGTTTTAATAAACATTCACAGTCTGGCAAAATCATTCAGTAAAAATAATAAGCCAAAATAATTAAATGAAACTTTACAATGCCAAAATATGTACTCAAGGGCATAAAAAGGCATGAAAAACTACTTATTATTACAGTGGGATTAGTCCTGACCATTCCAATTAAACCCTCCTGGTCTTCCCACTTCCGGAAGAGGTTCATAGTCACGATTAATTTGACGTCTATTGAACAAATATTTCCTATAAGAATAATTATTATTGCTAACTATTCGGGCTTACATAAATTCAGGTGTTCGGAGAATTCGAAATCCGTTTACTTGATTGGGATATACGTCTTCCAAGAAATAATAAAGATGACCAACAAAAATACCTAAACAGTTAAGGATAACAGCTATCTTACCAATTAGGTCAACCATCATATTATTTCCAAGAAGAAAGGAAAACGCAAAAAACACCCAGGGGAGGTATGGAGCATTAACTTCTATTATTCCAAATATGTTCAACCTAACTAATGGATTTCTTCTACTCCAAACGTAAACGAGCATCATTGTCAGGACATGACTGAGAAAAAGCATGTTAACGAATAAAGCAATTATCTGAAATATAACCAGGTGAAAGGTGTCTTACTATAGTGAGAGTTCCACAAAACAGAAACATCATAACAAAGTCAGCAGTTTTCGTACTGTACCATGTTTCTTCCAACATACGACAGTATCGATAAGCAAATAGGATATTAAAAAGAAAGCTAAAATTGAATGATCCGAAGAAGCAAAACGATGTCACAAGCCTCCATAACTAATAAAAGGTCGCTAAGAATATGCAAGATCACGAACCTGAAAGTTATTCGCTATCAACGACGGATTGAAATATAATTGAAAGGGTGAAATCAAGTTAAGTTGCTGAATTTGAAAGATAATAAAAAACTAGCTTACGACTGCTATTGTCAGCAAAAAACAGGTTGTGATATAAGCAGACGTAACAGGAGGTGTATTAGAGATTTCTTGAGTTATTATATCCATCAGATGTTTGTAGTGACGTACTACACCAATTGAAACCACCGCCTTACTTTATTTCATAAAACTCTTTATCTTATTAATTTTAAATTTAGTTTTGTGGAAAAAAGTTTTTCGGACATATCCATTCGAATGACTAATTTTTGTTTATATAAGCGCGGGAGATTCTTTTTTGGGGCGGCTGCTTTTTAATGACCAAAGACTTGATAGGCGCTCTTCGGGCGGTAACTATGCAGTTTAATTTGATTATTTTCCGCAGGCGCAACCTGAAGATGCTAATGACCTTCCGGACACTTCCTTGCCCCTTGATGGGTCGCAGTATATGAATGATTTTTTCTCTCAAGTCGAGGAAATACGAAACTTGATTGAACGAGTTCAGTCTCTTGTTGATGATGTGAAAAATAAACACAGTGATATACTTTCGTCGCCTAATCAAGATGAAGGTAACTTTAAATGTCTTAACTGTTTTTATGTTTTCAAGCCACAAAGGCTCAGCTTGAAGATGCTATGGCAGAAATCAAGACAATCGCACACAAAGTGCGTGCAAAACTAAAGCGTAAGTGCTTTTATTGACTAAGGTCTTCAGAAATGGAAATGAACATCGAGTATGATGAGAACTCAGACAGGACATCAGCGGATTTACGGATAAGGAAAACTCAGGTACAGTTTTCTCAAGCATCACTAATTGTTTGCAGTACTCCACAATCTCTCGGAACTTTATTGAAGTTATGACTGATTACAACAAAGCTCAAGTTGCCTTCAGAGACGCCTGTAAAAACCGAATAAAAAGACAAATGGAAATCGGTTAGTTTTTAATAATATTCATATGTCCATATCTATTTCCGTACGAACATGCTTGTTCATTTATCTGTATAGCATTCGAGTTCTGTGTATGTAACCCCTAATACATTACACTCCTAGTTGCTTAGTTTTATGTTACCTCAAACTGTTGAAGTTTTTGTCATAAGTATGTTTCAACGGTTTTAGAGCCTAAAATGCCCTTAAATATATTTAAACCTGTATACTAAATTAACTGTGTACCCGAGCTTTTAGTTTAGTGTCTTTGAAATCACCTCGGTCACTTATAAAGCTGTCTTCGATAAATTTTCCTGCTTTCAATGAGTCTTGTAAACACTATTATCATTAGCTTCCAAAGACGCTAAGAATACTGAGACAGAGACAGATACAACGCAGAACTTCGTACATAAGTATATCAGTTTATACCACGTGAGCACAGAGACGTAACTGTCAGTTCAAATCCAAGAGTGATCGCGATAGTAGAATTATTAGCAGCAATGGAGAAGATTAGGGAGCAAATATTATTCGAGAAGTATAATTCAGTGAGAAAATTTTGAAGGAGAAAGATAGAGATTATGAAGGTTAGAATTAAAAAGAACACATAGAGTGGATGCACCTGCGCCATTGCAAACGATTTTGAGCCATGTCATTCAGGGTCTCTAACCATCGGTTACTATCGTCTCGCGGACCCCTAGCAGATAGCCTACATCTACCAACATGACTCAGTCAGTGACTTCATGGATTTCTGCTATGTTTTGGTTTAGCCGCCCCTAACTTTCTTACAACCTACTCCTACGCCACAAAACATAGCTCTTCGAGGTAGTCGGTGGTTAGCCATACGCAACACATGTCCCAACCACCGCAACTGATGAAGTCTCACCACTCCATCTATTGATCTGCCATTCTTACCTAGCACCCGTTTTCTAATAACAGCGTTGCTCACTCGGTTGTCCCACGATATACGAGCAATGCTTCAGATACACCTATGATCGAAGACTGGTAACCTACGAATGTCCTCTACTCTTAACGGCCATGTTTCGCATCCGTATAGTGGGACAGAGCGAACTACTGCGCGTCAGCGTCTTCACCAAGTAGGACTATGTCATCGCAATTTTCTAAGTCGATAAGCGAGCCTCCTGGTAGAAGGTCTACTCCTGAAAATTCAGACGATGATAAGGTTACATCTAGGAGCAAGTCTGAAAAAATTATACAAGAATGGGGAAAGTGGACATCCTTGACGGACATCACTTGAAGTGAAGAATTCCGGTGACAGTTCGCCATAAGCCCTCACTCGACCAGTGGTGTTCGAGTAGAGAGCTTGTATAAGGTTGATGTACTTCTTTGGTACACCTTTCAATAACAGACACTGCCAGTCGTAGAAATAAGAGAAATATTAGGGGTGTAGGAAGGATTTGATTTCGACCGATTTGGTCTCGTGTGCGGGTACGGGTAGGAGGGCGGTTATCACTTCCCGGCTGCCCACACCGTGAAAGGTTGTTTCTTGAGGGATCTGAAAAGGAAGGCAGATTAGTGTTGGTCTTAGAGACCTGGATGCATGACCGCAGAGCCCAGGGGACAACTGCTTGAGGCCGGTCACGCACGGTTTTTTTATGAGAAGTTATTTGAGTTTTAGCTCCGCTCTTGAAAGCCCTTAGTGGGCACCCTTACCCAAGGAGACGGAAATCCGTGAGGTAGGGGAGGTGTAACATTTCTAGGGTCGACCTTTTCAATCCCTTCCTTCCTTGTGAGAAGGCAGCATTGCTGCAGATGCTGGTTATCCGAGGGAAATGCCTTACTGCTGTCATACCCCTCTGCAGTCAGCAGTACGACTTCGCCCTCAGACCTTCAGTTGCTGCTTTTAGTCTCATCGTTCTCCAATCGAACTGCCTGGCACGGTAGAACCTTCAGGGACATATGTTCCAGCCAGTATAGCTCGGTTGGATCATCACGATAGGCAAGCCCGACCACCACGTCAAGGTAGCAGCTACGGTCGGGGTTTGTTTCTATTAAATGATTTTAATACTTAACCTTAAAAATTGAATCTTATAGCTACGTTTTTGACAGATAGTAGTTACTCTCTGATTATTTCATTATATTTAATACGTTTTTTTGGTAACAGTCCATTTTCGTCTTTGCGTTATTTTCGTGATGCTCAGACAGCTAAAGCAGTGCCCTCCCCTTTTCAAACCTTTTTTATTCCTAGGCTATTTAGTACGAAAAACTATATTCTGACAGTTCCATCCTGCATCTTATTCTAATTTGCTTTATTTTTCATCATACCATACTTATCTTGACAGTTTATGCAGATACTGAAGTCCATTATTTGAGTTAAATATTATTTTTACTCATCTTTGGTTCAATTTATACCAAAAATACTTAATTTCGATAACATTTAGACAATCACCGGTGAAAAAACTGTATATGTGGGTTTAACGGTAGTTCAAACAAGATATTTATTAACAGTAGAATCCTATTATTTTTATCACCTGTCTTTCTTTAGGCCATAACTAGTTAATTGTTGTATGCCTCAGAGTTTTCACGTGTTTAATCTGCTTTTCCTTCTGTTACTCACTACCATGGATATAATTCTTTTTACATCCACATTCAAAGAAATGATTCAAGTCAGTTGATGATTACACTAGATTTTAAGTTTTATTCATCTATCTGGCCGTCCCAGTGGCTACCTCTCACCCGCACTGTGACAATCGTTTTTTAAATACTGTGGATGTAGAATTGGCGTTGTACCTAGTTTTAACAGATTTCATACGATCTTGCTTCATGTATTGGAGGATTTCGCAAAATCACCTGACCGTAAAAAATGCTCGAAGTTGGTTATAGAACTTCATGGAGACGGTTTAATACCAGCGATCCTTTTTGGTTGGAAATTAGAGACGAAATAAATAGCATACTTATCTTCAAGATTATCGATTATACTGAAAGTTTACCCCACGCGGGATGACCGATATATGAATTAAACCTGTTGCTAGAAGTTTTGGCGTCACTGCCTAAAACGAAAACTTCTGCAATTCGGTCAACTAACTCAGCCGAGTAAGCAATGATATAGTTAGGAGACAAGTACTAAGTAGAGATGGAAAATTAATAGATGAAGTATTGAAACTTCATCAGTTGAGGTGGTTAGGACATGTGTTACGAATGCACAACCAACGGCTACCTCGACGAGCGATGTTTTGTAGTGTAGGAGTAGGTTGGAAGAAAGCTAGGGACGGCCAAACCAAAAACATGGCACAAATCCATGGAGTCACTGACAAGTGGACTGAGTCATGTTGGTAGATGTAGACTACCTGTTTGGGGTCCGCGAGACGATAGTAACCTATGGTTAAAGACCTTAAACGACATGGCTCAAAATCGTTTGCAGTGGTGCAGGTGCATGCACTCGTGGTCTCTGAAGTTCTAAACTTCTGAATTCCTCATCATCTCTATCTTTCTCTTTCTAAACTTATCTCACTGAATTACACTTCTTGAATAATATCTTGGAACCCTAATCTTCTCGATTACTGCTAATACTTCTACTATCGCTACCACTATGGGATTTGCATTGACAATTGCGTCTCTGTTCTAACGTGGTATGGTAACCTGAACTGATGTACGTACGTACGTACGAAGTTCTACGTTGTAACTGACTGACTGGTCAACTAAGTAGCTCCACAATCTTTAGAACTAACTTTGGTGTACTAGAATAAAGCAATAAATTATATGTAATGTTTTATGTTGTTACAATCATTTATAAAACATCTTTATTTGATTTATGACAACTACTTTAAAATATGAGGCTTGTTAAAACTTGAGGAAACAACATTCTTGTTGTGTTGAATTCCAGTAAAGTACTGTAAATTTGTTCCCAATATTGTTCCAAACATTATATATCAACGATCGAATAAAACAATTTTTTTATCACACGTGTTGCTTACTTTAGTTTCTCTAATGCAAAGTACCTTTTCATTTTAGCCGAGAGAAAGATATCTAATGAAGAGTTGGAAGATATGTTAGAATCTGGAAATCCTGCCATTTTTACACAAGAAGTTAGTTTATCTTCATATGTAAACACACTTTTCTATTCTATCCTATGACTACTGTTGTCTGTCTCTTTAATTATCGAACATTATACAATGGAATTCAACCGTGTCGGATGTGAAACAGTTACACAGCGATGATGAGAATAGATGGTGGCCGTGGGATATATTTGATTGAATTGAGTTAAACATTAAGATCGCTGGATGCTGCGGGCTC